CAGATTCATCCATGTTATGAGATGCTTCTCAGATTCATCACTGTTCTTTATTGTTGCATAATACTCCATTGTGTATATGTACTATAGTTTCTTTATCCATCTCAATTGTTTCCATGTCGTTAAATTTTTAACATTCAATCTATCTGGAATTTATTTTGCGGTAAAAAGCGAGGTGTAGGGCTATAACTTTCTTCCCCCAACAAATGGTTAGCCACTTTCTCCCAAACCATGTTTTAGGAATTACTATTTTGCTCCTGCTCTGTGCCAAGGGAGGTAGTAACAGACCCCCGGCTCTGTGGCTTCCTACTGGGCATGGCCAAGGGGAGGATCACCAGCAGGAGGTCCGAGGGTGGTAGGAGAGGGAACGCAAAACCAGTTGTCTTCTAGTGGGCTCAGACTCAGGGCGACCCTATGTGTGTCGGAGTAGAACTGTGCTCCACAGGGTTTCAATGGCTGATTTTTTTGGAAGTAAATTTCTAGACCTTTCTTCCAAGTCGCCTCTGGGTGGACTTGAACCTCCAACCTTTCGCTTAGCAGCCAAATGCATTAACCATTTGCACCTCCCAGGGACTTGCCTTCACACTACTCTCATTTTCGTGTCCTATACTTGCCATCTTCTAATATATTATATTCATGCTTCTCAAACTTTAGGGATCCCCAGAGATTCTCAATTGGTAGTTTGGGGTTGCTGTTAGCTACCACTGAGTGGGCCCCCAACTCATGGGGCCCCATGCACAACAGAATGAAATGTTGCCTGTGCATGAGCTGCATTGGCCAGGAATCTCGAAACCAGATCTCTGACGTGGAAGGTGAGAATTCTACCACTGGACGACCACCACACCCTGACCATCTTCTGATACACTATATAGTTGACTTCTTTCTTATGTTTGTTGTTTATTTTCTGTCTTATCTTGCTAGAATAGAAGCGTTCCGTGTGTATGTGTGCTTTAGATGAAGATTTACAGAGCAACCCTGCGACGTGTCAACACTCTCCCCTTCTTGACAATGGGTTCCGCATTTCTATTCGTCCAGCTTTCCTGTCTCTTCCTCCCTTCTCTTCCTTGCCCCTGGGCTGGTGTGCACATTTAGTCTCGTATACATGGTTGAGCTATGTATATGATTGTTTGTTTTATGAGCCTGTTTAATCTTTGGCTGAAGGGTGATGAGGGCAGGGATCTTTGTGTCTCTTTTGTTTACTGATATAATCTAAGCACTTAGGGAAGTGCCTGGCCCATAGCAGGCGCTCAAGAAATATTTGTCGAATGACTTAATTAACTGACAGCGCTCATCAAACACTGTGGCTCATCAAACACTGTGCCGTGAAGTTGGCCTCTCACCAGGGTGATTCATTTGTGGAAGTGCCCAGAGCTGCTCCTGCAAAGGCTCCCATCACAGACCCTGAGGGTAGCATCGCTGTAACATTCCCCGGAACACAAGTTTCCTTTGCCAGGAAGACCCTGTGCCCAGGTACTTAGGCAGCCCAGCAGACAGAGGTCTCAGCCCAAGAATATCTGTGACATTTGTCAGAACAGTTTAATGTGCGGGTCACTTAACCATGTTACAAAGACATTTTTAAATAAAAAAGAACTTCAACTTTTCTTTTTCCTAAAGCAACAAAGGCAAACTTTAAAAAGATACATACTTATATTCAAGAAAATAAATCTGACCACTTAGAAAATCACTGTAGCATACAAATGCTTATAAGTTTTCCTTTTATTCTACATATATTTTTGAAAGGGGGTATTATTATTGTTTTACATATTTATGATCTTGAATCACATCTTTTACTATCTTATCTCGTTTTTCATAAAGGATTTTATCCTGGAACACTACAGTGAAGATAGCTATTTATATGAAGATGAAATCGCTGATCTTATGGATCTGAGACAAGTAAGCTTTTGTGTGCAGCAGGGTGGGGAGGATGGCTGCCACCTGTTTGTTGACTCTTCAGAATATCCCATTCCTGCATGCCTGTTACACAATCTCAGGTTGCTGGGGGCGAGAAGGGGGGACTATCAAAACCATCCATTCCACTTGTTACATAAGAAAACCACAGAAGGGAAGAGACCTGCCCAGTGGTACATCCAAAGCTGGCTTCCAGGACTCCTGACTCTGTGCCAAGCCCTCCCTACTCCTCCTTGAGTTCATGATCCCAGCTGTGGGGCCCAGGGTCCACAGGAACAGCGAGAGATGTCCAGACCACATGGGCAGGGACCGTCCGCTGTGTCCACTCATCTGCTCACCCTCTCCGGGGTGCTTTTCCTTTCAGGCTTGTCGGACACCCAGCCGGGATGAGGCTGGTGTTGAACTGCTGATGAGTTACTTTATCCAGCTGGGTTTTGTGGAGAGTAGATTCTTCCCACCCACCAGACAGATGGGGATCTTGTTTACATGGTAGGTACTGAGTTCTGTGCTGGTGTTTCCCACGTCAGCCATGGTTTCAGCTCCTTGGCACCACAGATGCTCCTCTGCAGACTGGCTGTCCTTTTCCACTACAGCCCCCTCTTTTCTAAATTGTTGCATTTATACAGGAAAAGTCCAGAGAGATGTCAGGAAACTGGCATTTATTTACGAAGGGGATCTGGAGGGAGAAGGCACCAACCAACCTTGCCTTCTTGCTTCTCAGAACGAGTGAGCCCAGGAGAAGAGGCGATGTTCCTTCTCATTCTATTGTTGGGAAACAGGAGGACTCTGAGGTGGAGTTAACAAGAAGCAAGATTCTTGTCGCGGGGGTGGGAATTGAGTTTTTTCCCAAAAAGAAGAACACCAAACAGAAATATGTGAAATTTTAAAAACTGAAGCAGAACATCTGATTCTTTTCTAGGACTAGTGTTCTCAGGATTAATATTATTGAAATACTTGGGAGATACCATACCTCTTCTTTGAGTGGACTTAGAAGCGTGGCTGATGGGAGAGTAAATCCCAACAGCTAGGAGCATATTCAGAATTAAATTTTACCACCAGAGACAGCTACCAATGCCTTTCTTTTGGAATGGAGAGGCTGATGACGCTTCATAAAAATGCATTTAGGGGCCTGCACTGGTGAGACTGCTAAAGATGATTTCTCCTTAGCCTTGAATTAGGAAGAAGCTCCCTCTCTACCTACCCCCTGGTTGATGTGTGAACTTTATAACAAATCCCGAATCTTTAGACTTCAGGAAAAATTATGACAGCTTAATAATTGCCATCTTTCATTTAGGAGCAGCCACATTTTAAAAAAACAGTAGAGTTTCTTTTTGTGTGCATTGGTGGGGCTCTTAATTAAGGACAGTCGGGCCTGTCACCTTGCACAGAAACCAGCACCTCACTGCATGTACGTCTTTGCCATTCATATAAGGAGTTGATTTTGTCGAGTTATTTTCACGGTAAGGTGGATGTTAACTAGCGGGTAATCCCTATTCTCAAAGCATGTTTCTTTTAAACAGGTACGACTCCCTCACTGGGGTTCCGGTCAGCCAGCAGAACTTGCTACTGGAGAAGGCCAGCGTTCTGTTTAACATCGGAGCCCTCTACACACAGATCGGGACCCGGTGTAATCGGCAGACACGAGCTGGGCTGGAGAGTGCCATGGACGCCTTTCAGAGAGCTGCAGGTGTGTCTCTGCAGGAGCTGCCTGGCGGGGAGAGGGTCTGTGGTCCTTCTCACGCCCATGCTTGGACAGAGGAGCCTGCAAGGCCAGTCCAGTTTCCACCAAGAGAAGCGCTTAGTGGTTCAAATCCTAATGTCTCCATCTCCATATGTCCTATGTACATAGTAAATGCTGGGGTTAATGGTTAATCTTTCCCAAATGAGTGGCCCCAAGAATGGCAGTGAATGAATACTATATTGAAAAAAACAGACTAAGTATTCCTGAATCGTGAAAACGTAGGCCTTTTTCTCTTTTATTAAGTATGCCTTATCAGCACCTATTATTATCCATCCTTTCAGCGTTGTTCCACGAAGTCGGCCAGCCTGAGGTTGCTTTCTCTGCCCGTGTGTCAAGTGACGTATACAAGTGCTTAATAATCCTGTCATCTTCTCTGGGACTTACAAACCCATTCCCACTGGAACTTCTTTTTCCCAGCCAGTCACCCCTGCAACCCATCTTGGTAGGAGCCAGGTGCAGGGTGGAGGAGGAATGCAGCTTAGCAGCTGACCTATAGAGGACAGGGTCACTGGGGGTCGGGCAAGTCCCTGCAGACCTGGTGCAGACACCTGGGGAAGCTCCCGTGTGCCTGAGGGTTCTATCTTGCTTCCCTCTAGCATGGCCTGTGTCCAGGGCAGACTCAGGCTGGGGAACTGTAGGCAGAAGCAGGGGCAGAGGGCCGCCAACAGCATAATCCCCTGAACGGGCTCCACAGCGTTCCTTTGGTTTCCTTTGGTGCCTATCCTGGTCATCCTGCCTTGGGGTGATACTCCTCGAGGAGAACCTTTGTGGGTATTTTATTTTGCTCTGCAAGGCTGTGAAGTACTGTAGCCTGGTCATTGTGGCTAAACATGGAATTTGTAAAATGACTGTACCTCGGGATGGAACGGTATGCTAAGACTTTGTGTGGGAGACGATTTCGTTCACTGTAAATCCCTCTCTGGGCTCATCCTTCTTTCTGAAGAATCTTAATGAAGGACAGGAGGAGTAGGGGCACTTTGTGACCTGTCTCCAAGATTACAGAGCTATAGACGCCCAGGTGGTGGGAGAAAGCTTCAGAATGTCAGAGAGTGAGTGAGCCCGAGGGGCGCAGTCAGCCTGCAGGCTAGGTTGGTCCCTGATCCTTTCATGGGGCAGTTTAGGCTCTGCCACAAAACCAGAGGAACCAGTTGGATGAGGTTCATGTCAGAGATTGTATTTCAGCTCCAGATTTATTGTCAGTTAATGCTGTGACGGTTAATTTTCAAAAGTATAAAAAAGTCAGCTGGGAGCAAGAGCATGAAAGTTTCTACTGGAGTGGGCCAAATTAATCTTTCCTGAGGTCTTGGGGGGAGCCCTGAATTTCTGGATGGCACCCCATGAGCCCCTGAGTCCTCCTGCCTGCTTTCTGCTTTCATGAATGGCGTTCCTCACAATTGTTCCAGGTGAGACAGGAATGGGGGCGGGGGGGTGGAACCCGTTGTGGTCGAGTCGATTACAATTCATAGCGACCCTATAGGACAGAGTAGAACTGCCCTATCATAGGGTTTCCAGAGAGCAGCTGGTGGCCTGGAAGGGGGATAGAATTGCCGGGCCATAGGAGACTGGTTTCTCTGCTTGACAGAGATGTGGACGTCTTGGAAGAGAATTCGATTTTTTTTCCCCCAGAGGCTTAAAACAACATCCGTTTATTATCTTACAGTTTCTATAGCTCAGAAGTCCAAATTTAGCTTAGGTGGATTCTCTGCTCTGGGTCTCACACAGCTGGAGTCATGGGGCTGACTGTGGCTACTGTCTCATGATCCTTGAGGTCCTCTTCCAAGGTCATTTAGATTGTTGGCAGAATTAGGTTTTTTGAGAGTGTAAGACTGAGGGCCTTGTTTTCTTTTTTCTTAATAATTTATTTTATTTTTGTTGTTGTTGTTGAGAATATACACAGCAAAACATACACCAGTTCAAGAGCTTCTCCATGTACAATCCAGTGACATTGATTACATTCTTCAAGTTCTGCAACCATTTTCACCCTTCTTTTCTGAGTTGTTCCTCCCCCATTAACATAAACTCAGTGTCCCCTAAGGTTCCTGACTAATCTTTTGAGTTGCTGTTCTCATTCTGATCCCATATAGATAGATCTTAAAAGAGCACAGTGCTCAAGGCAGACATTCTTTACTGGTCAAGCTAGACTACTGTTTGGTTTTAAGAAGACTTCAGGGGATATTTTTGGTTTAAGGTCTAAAGTTTAAAGATTACCTAAGGGAAATAGTTTCAGTTTTCTATAGAATCTTTGATCAAAATATTCCATAATGGTAGCTGGGCACCATCCAGCTCTTCTGGTCTCATGGCAAAGGAGGCAGTTGTTCATGGAGGCACTTAGCCACACATTCCATTTCCTCCTCCTATTCCTGACTCTCCTTCTTTCTCTGTTGTTCCAGAGGGCCCTGTTCTCTTGCTGGTTGTGGGCCAGCAGCCTCCCTGAGTTCCTAGAAGTTTCTGCAGTTCCTTGGCACATGGCCCCTTCCATAGGACCTCGGTACTTGTAATCTCTGACTTCTTTTGTCTCTGACCTCTAGACCCAGATGAGAAGCCGATTTTTTAAGATGCTCTAGGACACCCATTTTATATTTTTGCTTCTATCATTTTCTATACTTCTGAGCAGCACGGTGAAATAAATATGTTCCCCAACTAATGTGCAAAAAATGTACCATTCCAGGGGTTTTAAACTACCTGAAAGAGACCTTTACTCATACTCCAAGTTACGACATGAGCCCTGCCATGCTCAGCGTGCTGGTCAAAATGATGCTCGCTCAAGCCCAAGAATGCGTGTTTGACAAAATCTGCCTTCCTGGGATCCAGAATGAGTTCTTCATGCTGGTGAAGGTGGCTCAGGAGGCTGCCAAGGTGAGGCTTCCCTGGTTCCTGAGACCTCCTGGGGGTGGGCGGGATGCATTGCGGCAGGAGCACTGGAGGCAACAGGGGCTCTGTCCGTGGCCTGGGCAGCGTGCTCACCCTGGCTGGGCAGCTGGTTTGTATTTTCTTGGCAAGTACTGGTGTTTCAGATATGGATCACTGATTCCATCTGCAGCTTAGCCTAAAAACCAGCATAATGACGGTTGCCTGGGTCCTCTGTTAACTCTGGCACTGACAACATGGGGAGCCCTTGGAGCTGCTCCCAGATTCCGGAGCAGCCTCTGGCAGGGGCTGCTGCAGGAAAGAAAGGGCTCTTTTTCTACAGGCCCGGGTGCACGAGGGCCCCTGGGCCAGGCTCCCCCTTCCCAGCATCCCCTCTGTTTCAGGTGGGAGAGGTCTACCAGCAGCTGCACACAGCCATGAGCCAGGCGCCGGTGAAGGAGAACATCCCCTACTCCTGGGCCAGCTTGGCCTGTGTGAAGGCCCACTACTATGGGGCCCTGGCCCACTACTTTGCCGCCACCCTCCTCATCGACCATCAGTGTAAGAACTGAGGACACGGGGGCCCAGGGTTTGGTGAGGGTTGTGGTTTGACTGTCTCTGGGGGGTTCTGAGCTGAGTGAGAAGTGGCAGCTGGCCTTGGAGATGCTCGTAGCCTGAGGGCAGAGGATGGGATTACACACTGACCCAGGCGGCTGTCATACCAGTTGGGTGGGATTGGCAGTGGTTGCTGCGGAGTCAGTTCCAACTCATGGTGACCCATATGTGTCACAGTAGAATGGTACTTCATTGGGCATTGGATTTTCTTTATTATTATTGTGCTTTAGGTGAAAGTTTACAGCTCAAGTTAATTTCTCATACAAAAATTTATACACATATTGTTACGGGACATTAATTGCAATCCCCACAACACGACAGCACACTCCCCCTTTCCACCCAGGGTTCCCTGTGTGTGTCCATTCAGCCAGTTCCTGTCCCTTCCTGCCTTCTCATCCTGCCTCCGGGCAGGAGCCGCCCATTTGGTCTGGTGTATCTGATTGAACTAAGAAGCACACTCTTCACGAGTATTATTTTTTGTTTTATAGTCCTGTCTAATCTTTGTCTGAAGAGTGGGCTTTGGGAATGCTTTCAGTTCTGGGTTAACAGAGCGTCCAGGGGCCATAGTTTTGGGGGTTCCGCCAGTCTCTGTCAGACCATTAAGTCTGGTCTGGGCATTGGGTTTTCAGTGACTAATAATTTCGGAAGTAGATTACCAGGCCTTTCTTTCGAAGTGCCTCTGGATTAGGGTTATAAAATCTTGCCGTGGGAAAAAAGGGGGATATCATTAATTCTGCCTAGGGTATAGCAGACAGCTTCATAGAGGCGACTTTTCACCTGGACCTTTGAACAGGCCAGGACTAGGGTGAGGCACTTGCCTCAGGCTCAAAATTTAAGGGCATGCCAAAAATCTCAATAATGAAGGTCACATTTTTTTTAATTGGGGTAAAACACAGCATGAAATTTACCCCTTCAACCATTTGTAAGTGTACACTTCAGTGGCATTAAGTACATTGCCGATGTTGTACACCCATCACCACTATTTCTGAAACGTTTTCATCATGCCAATCAGAACTCTGTACCCAGAAAGCAACAACTCCCCATTCCTCCCTCCTCCCAGCCCCTGGCAACCTCTAATCTACTTCCTGTCTATGAGTTTGTATAAATAAACAACATTGTAATGTCATATTTTTAAAAAATAAAAATCAATGCAAAAAAGTCCATGCTGCCCAGACTCTTGAATAAAGCTGGGAGTCAGTAACAGTGCTGTGCTGAGCCGCCTTGGAGCCTGAGGCAAAAGGAAGTTTTGATGTTTTGTTCATCATGGAGTTTTTTGCATTAATTTTGGTGTTTTAAAGATAGCACTGAAATATGGTGTACTTGCTTGATGACTGAGCTTTTCGTACCCCCTTAAATTCTGAGTCCGAGGCAGATGCCTCACTTGCCTCACCCTAGTCCTGGCCCTGATCTAGAGGATATGTTGTAATTAGTATTAACGAAGGGAACCCCAAAGAGTGAGTAAAAGGGTAGACTCTGGAGCCAGCTGCCTGGGTTCAAATCTCAGCTCTGCCATTTATTAGCTGTGTGATCTTAGGCAAGTTACTTAGCTTCTCCCTGCCTCAGTTTTCTCATCTATAAAACGGGGATGTGAGTAGAACTTATCTCAGGGCTGATGGGAAAAACTAGTGTCTATATGCAAAGCTAAGTAGTGCCTAGTACATAGTAGGCTCTCTGAAAGTATTATCTGCTACAACTAGTATTATCCTATGGTTAGTCAGGGGGACAGGACAGGTAAACAAAAATGTAGCCTCAGTAATTGCTGTAGAGACACAAATGAGGCAGCAGTTGGTTCTGCTTGGTGGTCACGGACGTATCCCCTGGGCATGATCCATATCTCAGAGGTGGTGACTTTGAACTCTGAGTGGGGTTTTTCCATCTGAACAAGGAGGTAAAGGACCACTACGAGCAGAGGAAACTGTGAGCGAAGGAGTGTTGGTGAGCTTAGAGAGAGAGGTGCATGCCAGGGAGGATGATGCTGAAGCTGGGGCTGGGGCTGGGAAGGGCCCTTTGTCACAGGTCTGGAGACCACCAGAGGTTTTCAAGCAGAGCAGCAACAGGGTCAGTTCTGTGCTGGAAGGTTTCATGAGGTGGGGGACTTGGAAGAGCTAGAGTGCCAAATCATGAACCACTAGGGTGTGCCTGGCCCTGAGGCCAAAGCCCCTGGCCAAAGGCTCGTGGGTTGGATTGCCTGGGGTGTGTCCAGCAGTAGAAAGTAGATCCATTTACCCAAATGCCTTCTAAAACTGGCACTTGAACCGGAAGAAAGGAACCCAGAGTCATGTTGCAAGAGACATCCCTAAGTGGGTCTGTGGCACCATCTCCAGAGCTCGTAGCCATGGCCACGAGAGGGGACTTAACTGGTGGTTTCCATTGCAGTGAAGCCTGGTGCAGATGAGGACCACCAGGAGAAGTGCCTGTCCCAGCTCTATGACCACATGCCCGAGGGACTGACACCCTTGGCCACACTGAAAAACGGACACCAGCGCAGACAGCTGGGTATGTATCAACCCTGGAACCTGTGCCAGGGCTGCTGGCTCTCGAAAGAGCAGGGCATCCAAATCTTCATGCTCCCCAAAGGAGACCACTGTCAGTGAGGTCACTCTGGATTCAGTAACTGTGAGGCACAGTCTCTAGCCTTGAAGGGCTTCCAGAGAAACGCATGTTCTCCTTGGTTCTACGAGGACCCAGGCATCCTGCAGGGGAGCCAGAGCCTTGACCACCTCCCAACACCCTAATGGTCCACAGGATGACCCTTGGAAGGACACATCTGTTAATTTTCTTATCCCCAGCTTCATCACCAAGAGCGCCTAAGAACCAGTTATGAATTATCCTAGTTGGTCTCTGCCATGTCTCAAAGTGAATATCTCTTTCCATATCAAAACCTGAATTCTTCCACCTCTCAATCCTGCCCACCCTCCCAGACACACGCCATTTCCCCACCAGAAACACCGGTGTCACCCTCCTTGTCTTTCGTTCTCACCCTGCATTTGATTCGCAAACCCCATTGGCTGCACCTAGAAAACATATCCTGAATCCGACCACTTCTTACCCTACCACCCTGGTCCAAGCCATACCTAGTTAGCAAACATTGACTAACTCAACCCTCACAGTAGCCCTGTCAGAGAGGTCTAGTATGGTCCCATTTTATAGTTGAGGAAACGGAGGCACAGAGAGGTCGTGCAACTTGCCAGCTCTTTGCAGTCTCGTTGCAGGTCTCCCTGCTTCCCTCTGTGCTCCTTCACAGTCTGTTCACACGGGCCAGATCACATCAGTTCTCTGGTCAAACCCTAATGGACTCCCATCCCACCCAGAGTAGGAGCGAGAGTCCTCACCCTACACTTGTAAGGCCAGGCACACTCTGGCCCCTGCTCCTGTCTGACTTCTCTCCTGCTCTCACTCCCTCCAGCCACACCCAGCTCCTGCCCCAGGGCCTTTGCACTTCCTGTCCTTTCTTTCAAGACCACTCATCTATCAGATATCCTCACTTCCTTCAGGGCTCTGCTTTAAAGTTACCTTATCAAAAAGGCCTGCCCTGGTCACGCACTAGAGACTGGCAGCTCCCCATCCCTAGTCTTCTCTTACCACATCTGCCTGCTCTGCCTCACTTTTCTCTGTAACCTTATTGCCACATAATCCATTACATATCTCGTTGCTTGTTAATCATCTATCTTCACCCACTAGCATGTGAGCTCCATGAATGCAGGGGCATTTTTTTAAAAAAACAAACCCACAATTTTGTTTATTTTCAGTAAGTTTAAGTTCTTAAGGGGTACAGCATCACATGGATCCTGTGTCTAATGGACTTAGCAGGAAGGTTGCTTTGGCATTTGGCAGGAAGTGTGCCACTGTTTCCATGGGCGCGAGTTACCCCTACCCAGATGACTCTGGTTTGTTAGGTTTCCCTCCAGGAGTCATTGTGCCCTTCTCTGCTTTGTACACATAAGCACATCTCTTGCCTAAATAAAATTCAGTTTTATCTTGGGCATAAATGCCTTACATTTTGAGACGAGATGTGTGCTCCCTCTGGTTCCCAATACCCCATTTATATCCAATAGCCTTAGACCACAGCCTTCCAGACATACTGGCCAGTTTAGAAGTCCTCTTCCCAGCAGGCCTCCACAGGCTCCAAGATGGCAGAAAGAGAAGGGGCTATTTTTGTTCATTGCTTTATCTCTCCTGCCTAGAACATTGGGTAAATATTCATTGAGTGAATGAAGGAAAATCTCACAGACACAAGTGAGGATATTACATATTCATTGAAGACAGGCTTGAGCAGTCCACACAGATCCTTAGAAAAGAGAATGTCCACATTCTTGGGCTGATCCTTGGGCACTTTGGCTCTTCCTGATATATTCACATTTGTAACTGAGGCAACATGTCATTGGCAGGAAAATCGCATCTGCACAAAGCCATTGTCCATCATGAGGAGTCTGTGAGGGAGGCCAGCCTATGCACGAAGCTCCGCAACATCGAGGTGCTCCAGGAGGTGCTTTCCGTGGCACAGCAGCGCTCTCGGCTCAAGTATTCTCAGCACCAAGAGGCCGATGATCTAGTGAACTTAATCGATGCTCCTGATGTTGTTTGTAAGTGACTAAGGCTCTCCGCCGCGTGCGTGGACGCCTGTGCTGTGTACAGAGTGTGGCCTGTGTAAGAGTCACTCTGGGTAAACATAGCCTTTATTTGCTCATCCTGCAGGGGTTGGGAAACCCTCTCTGTGTGCTGCTCTTGCTCTGGAGATTTCATCTCCTAATTCCCAAATCTGGGGGCTTCTTTATGGTCATTGTCTCCATCGCCCGCTTTGCAGCATCTGATGCTGCAGACTGCCCCCTTGCCCTCCACACTCCACCCTTGGTGTCCAGGGCCCCTGCCATCTTGGTTCTGTTCCCACCTCCCTGAGCCCTCTCTCTCCATCCTCTTTGCTGGCTGGTCTTCTTGCCCTATCCCAGCCACCCCTCCTGGCATTCTCTAAGAGTCTATTCTACCTGGTTTTCTTTCTCTAGACTCTCTTCCTTAAAGCCTCATGACCTCCTATGGGGTTTCAGCCATCACCTCTAGTCAGAAGACTCCCGAAGCTTCACCTTTAGCCTTGGTGTCTTTGCTAGACTCCACACCCACTCACATTCCCAGCTGCCTTCTGGGAAACTGCACTTAGCTGTCTTTTACCTCTAACTCTAGTTTTAAAACCAAATGCATCATTATTTCCTCTCCCAGGCTTGTTCTTTTTTGTCTTCTCTAGCTTTTATCACCACCATCATCTAACAACTCCGGGTACTCAGCACTCTCCTGGGTTCAGGAATACAGACAGGAACCAGACAGCTGTTGCTGCCCTCAGGGAGGTGGTGGTCAGTTCTGCCTGGGAGGTGGGGAGTAGAAGGCCTCCCCGAGAGGTGACTTTGTGATGAGGAATCCCTAGGATCCTTCCGGAAGGAGTTAGGGTGGGGAGTGGAGGATTGTCCAGTTGAGGGAACTGCCTTTGTGCATGCCTCCCTGCCCACTTCCTGCACCTCTGGCCTCAGGCTCTAGGGCTCCACCCCAATTTTTACAGACCGGCTCCTTAAAGACAAAGTCCTGCTCCAGCTAGACTCCTGGGCCCGTTCTGTAGCAGTGTTAGCTATGATTTGTTGAGCATTTGGATGACACTAAGCACCCCATGTATAAGGAATCTCATTCAGCTTTCCCTCCAGCACTGTGAGGGAGGTACTAGTATCATCCTCATTTTAAAGATGTGGAAATAAAGGCTTAGGGAGATCAAAGGAATTGCCCCAGGTGACCAGGCTGGTACGTGGTGGAAGCAGGGATGGTGCTCAGGGATCTTCCTCACCGGCACTGTCGTACCTCTGCGGCCCCAGTGTGCTCTGGCCAGAAGGGCAGGGGAGCACACCGCTCTGGTGAGGCTGTTGGTGAGTGGTGCCGCCCCTGCAGCAAATGAGCAGCCTGTCTGAGCTCAGCGCTGTGTCAAGGGGCTTGTAAGAAGCCACAGACTCATCCTGTGAATTTGAGGGGCGTGTTCTACCTGGACTTTCGTTTTATGCTTGTCGTGCGTGTATAATTAGCCTGCTCTGGGGTCTTTTGTTAGCAACTAACTAGCTTTATGGTATGGGTTAGACCAGAGGCTGCCATGAATGTGCTGTAGAGACTTGTAGCTTTCAATGGACATGACTGGCAAAACCACTTCTCATGGTGACATCCTCACATCACACGTTAAGAATGAAAACAGAAGGCCCGTCATGCCCAGGACTTTGTACCGAAAGACACAGAAGTTCCGTAACAGCCACGTCTGAAATATAGTTTGTTTTCTGTAGAATTTTATGAGTGCCAAAGGAATTCTTCTGGAATATAAGCTCCTTGAAGGCAGCGAACTTGTCTGTCACTACTCTGTCCCAGCCCCAGAACAGGGTATGGCACACAGGTGCCCAAATGGAAGGTCCAGTTCCCACCGGGCCAGGGGATTGAACAGTGTTCCATCTTCTGTACCATTTGTCTAAGCCAAGAGGAAGGACAGTGACTAGGAAACACTTCTGTTTTCTCTTCCCTTCTGACAGAAGACTGTAGCCCTGAGTTAAGGGTAGCTTTTCAATTACAGAAACATTTACTCTTTCACTTTCAATCTTGTTTTCTAGCTAAAACTGAGCAAGAAGTTGAAATCATACCGCCACAGTTCTCCAAGGTGACAGTAACAGACTTCTTCCAGAAGCTGGTATGTTGAACACTTATTTCATGATGACCTAAGGGGATAACTTTTAAATTCTGCAAGTGTGTGCAAGGGAAAATGGCTATTAATGTTCTTGTATGAGTGCTGTAGTACACGTTATCCCGGATGGTGTCATTAGGCTCTGAACGAGGTTAAGTGAAATCTTCGAGGACAACAGGCAACATGTCTGATTCAGCCTTCAAATCCTACAGCTAATGATGCTCTATTCCAAAGGGCCCCCTATCTGTGTTTTCGGCTAACAAGAGATGGACACCGCCTCGAAGCATTCATTTCACTGTAGAACAAGGGGACTTGGGGTTCACCTTGAGAGGAAACTCCCCAGTTCAAGTTCACTTCCTGGATCCTTATTGCTCAGCAGCAGTAAGTATGCACCGTTCTAGATTTGGAACAAAACTCACCAACGTCTTTGCAGGGAGTCAAACTGGCAAGATACAAAGAAAGCAGCCCAAATGTACGTATCTGGGTGATTGAATTAGGGCACTGCTGGTTAGTTTAACTCTGACTTTATATGAAAGGCTTCACCGATGCTACGTGCCCAAAGAGACAAGTTGTAATTTTTGCTTTCTTGAAGCACACTTATGCACATACCTGTTTGTTTTTTTTCTTTTCTTTCTTTTTTTTTTTAATTGTACTTCAGGTGAAGGCTTACAGAACAAATAGTTTCTCAGGAAACAGTAGTACACATATTGTTTTATGACACTGGTTAACAACCCCACAACATGTCAACCCTCTAATTTCTCAACCTTTTTTCTTGGTGAAAATACACATAGCCAAAGATACACCATTTCAAAAATTTCTACATGCACAGTTCAGTGACATTGACTACACTCTTCCAATTGTGCTGTTATTCTCATTTAAGATGAAGGCTTACAGAACAAAATAGTTTCTCATTTAAGAGTTACTACAAATGTTGCCCTATGACAATGGTTAACAATCTCACAACCCATCAACAATATCCTTACTCAACCTTGGGTTCCCTATCACCAGCTTCCTTGTCCCTTCTGCCCTATGGCCCTTGTCACTGGACTGCTGTACCTCAGTAGTCTCATTTGGTTTTACGGGGCTGTCCACTCCCAGGCTGAACAGTGAACCTCGGAGATAACTTCACCACTGAGCTAAAAGGGTGTCTGGGGGCCATACTCTCGAGGTTTCTCCAGTCTCCTTTAGGCCAGTAAATCTGGTCTTTTTTTTGTGAGTTAGAATTTTGTTCTACATCCTTCTCCGGCTCTGTCCAGAACCCTCTGTTGTGATCCTGGTCAGAGCCGTCAGTGGTGGTAGCCGGGCACCATCTAGCTGTACTGGACTCAGTCCAGTGGAGGCCTCAGTAGCTGTGGACAATTAGTCCTTCAGACTAATCTTTTCCTTGTATCCTGTTCTCTTCATTCTCCCTTGCTCCCGAAGGGATGAGACCAGTGGAGTATCTTAGATGGCCGCTCACAGGCTTTTAAGACCCCAGACAGTACTCACCAAGGTAGAATGTAGAGCATTGTCTTTATAAGCTGTGTCATGCCAGTTGAGCTAGAGCACATAACCTGTTTTGTGAGTGCATTTAGAAACTGTCTGATTCAGGGATATGAATTAATGCTGACCTTTGTTTAAACGATCCTTTTGTAGCTGGCAGGAGCCAAAGAAGGAGATTATATTGTTTCTATTCAAGAGGTGGACTGTAAGTGGCTGACACTGAGTGAGGTTATGAAACTGCTGAAGAGCGCTGGCAAGGACGACATTGAGATGAAGGTCGTGAGTCTCCTAGACTCCACGTCGTCCATGGTGAGCACTGAGACCCCCAGCAACAAAGGGTGATGTGGAGTGAAATCAGTGTGATTCAACCTCAGAGGTCTCTACCACGCCCTCTGCCTCCCTCCTACATCTGTAACATCTCACAAAACGGCTGAACTCCTAAGCTTGTAAGCGTTGGGAAGTGCTCACCTTGGGTCAAAGAGTTGTTGTTAGCTGCCGTCAGGTCGACCCAGCACACGGTCACTCCATGCACAACGGAACAAAACGCTGCCCAGTCCTGCACCATTCCCCACCATCACTGGCAGATTAGACCCTTGTGATCCACAGGATTTTCACTGGCTGATTTTCAGATCTCTAGGCCTTTCTTCCTAGTCTGGAAGCTCTGCTGAAATCTGTTCAGCATCATAACAACATGCACGCCTCCACTGACAGATGGGTGGTGGCTGTGCATGACATGCATTGGCCGGGAATTGAACCCCGGTCTCCCGCATGGAAAGCGAGAGTTCTACCACTGAACCAAATTTGGAAAAAAAAATTTTTTTTTAACTCTATAGAAAAAATAACTAGTTAATTAATTTTTCTGATTAAATGGTTATTAATTACAAAGTACTCCATGTTCATGGTAAAAAAAGAAGTTCTCGTGATACAGAAGAGCTTAATACGAGATGTGAAAGTCCCTTTCCACACTGCAGACACACTGTTAGCAATTTCCAGTGAGTTCTTGGGAGATGTTGTATGCCTGTGCAAGGTCATGTTATTCACGTGGGAGGAATCAGACCGTATGTACTCTTCTGCACTTAACTGCACTTTAATAACGTAACTTAGACACTTCCCTCTATAAAAACATTCATTCACTCAACAAATAGTGAGTACGTGCTGTGTACCAGGCACTGTCTTAGGTGTTAGAGCTATAGCTTGAACCAGACAGATGAGGTTCTTGTCCCCACCCAGCTGACACTGTATAAGTAAGTGGTTGTCATTCTGGTAAATACTGTAAAGAAACTAAAAATATAATGTGCTAGATGGCTGGGGGTGGGGAGAGGCTCCTCTAGGCGGGGTTTGAACTGAGACTCAAGTGCCGAGAAGGAACCAGCCATTTGAAGAGGTACAAGAAGCACTTTCCAGTCAGAGGGACCAACAGGTGTGAAGACACTGCAGCAGACATCAGCTGCTGCCAGAGGAACAAAAAGGCGGCCTTTGGGCTGGAGATCACAAAGCGGGAGAGTGGCAGGAAATGAGCTGGGGAGGGAGGGGACACAGGACACAGGCTTGAAGGGCCCTGTTAGCAATGGCAGGGAGTAAGGAAGCCACTAGGCCTTTAAGAAGGGGAGTGGCATGGTATGATGTTTATTTTAGAAACGTGTCTGCTGCCTGGAGGCTGGTTGAGAGGCAACAGGGAGACTGAGCTGGCTACATGGCAATAGTCCAGGCAGGTGATGCCAGGGGCTTGGACTAGGGGATGGCAGTGGACGTGGAGAGATGGATGCACCTGAGACATGTTTTGGACATAGAACCGACAGGGATTTGTAGTGATTTGTGGAGGAGTTGGGGGAAATGGAGACAGATGACTCCCCCGATTGGCCTGTACAACTGCGTGGGTAGTGGGAGAAAACCACCAGAGGTGTGCTTTGAGTGATTTTACTTTCAAATTTCAATTTCCCATTGCTGGTATATAAGAAAGCAACTGACTTTTGTAAATTAATCCTGTACCCTGTGACCTTGCTATAATGGCTTATTAGTTCCAGGGGTCTGCTGTCCGTTCTTCGGGATTTTCTACATAGACAGTCACATCATCTGCCAACAGTTTTGTTTCTTCCTTCCCACTCTGTGTACCTTTTATTTCCTTGTCTTGTCTAACTGCATTAGCTTGGACTTCCAGGAGAAAGTTGAATAGGAGTGGTGAGAGGAGATAGCCTTGTTCTCAATCTCAGCGGGAAAGCATCTCGTTTCTCACCATGATGTATGATGTTAACTGTCCTTCCTGTATCTGAACCAGGCCAGTGAAGGATTTGGTGGATGGTTAAAGGCAAGGGCCCTAGACTCAGACTGTCTGGGTTTGAATCCTGGCTTTCCTACCAGCTGTGTCATCTTCAAGTCATGGAAGAGCTGTTTGTAGAAAATGGTAATATTCTTTGGAGGAAGCACCGACCTCCCAGGCTTATTGTCGGGACTGACTGAGTTAGTTTATGTAAAGCACTTCAACAGTGCCTAGCAGGGATACTATCAGTTCATAAAAATAAAAAAAAAAAAACAACCAAACCCGTTGCTGTTGACCCTGGAGGACAGATTAGAACTGCTCCATAGGGTTTCCAAGACTAAATCTTTATGGAAGCAGACTGCCACATCTTTCTCCCATGGAGCTGCTGGTGGGTTTGAACCACCAACCTTTCAGTTAGCAGTTGTACGTTTTGTACGTTTTAACCACTGCACCACCAAGGCTCCTTCAATTCATACTAAACCAAATAAACAAAACAAACCCGTTGCCGTCGAGTTCATTCCGACTTATAGTGACACTGTAGGACAGAGTAGAACTGCCCCATAGGGTTATAATAACAGTAATAACCACAATTACTGTGGTTATTCTCTTCACTTCAGATAATGACAGATGAGCACTGTTTTTAGCTGCTGAGCTCTTTCTTCAAACAAAATCAAATAATGAGAACAAATATAGCCCCATGTTCTGGCTGGACTAATTGGTGCCTGGAACACTGCCTGCTACCCCTGCTCTTGACTGTTGTGGAAAGCCCTAGTACCCCTCTGTGGAACAGATTTTGAAAACTATTGTTGTATGGTGGAAAGAATCCAAGGCTTGGAATCAGTGACCTGGAATGTAGCCCTGTCTGCCATTAACAAGCTTTGTGACCTTCAGCAGGTTCATATCCTCCTGGGTCTCAGTTCCCTCATGCATGTGAGAGTTAGACTAGTTGAGTGGTTTTCAAACTGTGCTCTATAAAGTCCTGAGTTCCAGAGATGTGTCCCAGGAAGATTTGGGGAGTGGATGGTGGGGAGCATGCTGGAAGGGGAGAAAGGGAAGAGAACTCTCTTGAGAAGTCTGGCTGTGAAAGGGAGCAGACATTGGGGTGGTAGCTGGGAGGGGGACATAGGGTCAAGTAAGTTTTCCAAGGAAGGGGGTTACATACCAGAGCAAGCGTGTGTGCTGATGGCAAAGGTCTCAGCGACAGGGAGAGGCTAATAAAGCAGGAAGGCGGAGACACCTGGAAAATCTCTCTCGGGTGTGGGATCTAGACACACGGCGGGGGGGAGTTGGCCTTTGGGGACAGGCGCAGTTAAACATAAGGCGAGGATGTTGTGAGGCCATGCAAGTGGCTTGAGGAGAGAAGAGAATGTCTGAAACAAGCATCTAGGAGAAAAGGAATGAAATTACTGAAGAAATGTAGTAAGATTGCCAGGTAACGGGGTGCCTGGTAGAGGCTTGGGTCAGGGTTAGAATTTCAAGGGAATCAGTCAGCTTGGTAAATGTCTTCCAGCCATATGCAGCTGTTTGGATGCAGTCCTGGGGGTCAGAGGGTGGGGTTTAACTAGAGTTGACATTTCACCAGATGAGTGTGGAAGGGGAAGAGAATTGAAGGTATTTGTGAGGGAGTGGTTATAATGATGCACAGCGGACTCTAAGTGGGTTAATGTTGAGAAATGTTTACGGGCCTCAAATCTACCTCCCGAACAGTTTTATTTTTAATGATAGTGTGTGTGGCCTGTAAAGCATGTTGGGATTTATGGTCGGTATTATAGAAAAGGGAGAGGCATTTTCATCCAAAGGAGGCAAACTCAAGAGGGGTATTTTACAGTAAATATTCCTTTTATAAAGGAGCCCTGGTGGTGCAATTGTTAAGGGCCGGGCTGCTGACTGAAAGGTCTGTGGTTCAAACACACCAGCTGCTCTGCGGGAGAAAAGACCTGGCGATCTACTCCCAGAAAGATTACAGCCTAGGAAACCCTGTGGGGCAGTTCTGCTCTGTCCTATAAGGTCACTATGAGTCATAATCGACTTGACATCACACAACAACCCCTTTTCTTGCTGCATAACGCAGACTCCTCTTAAGATTTATATTATGAACAATGTACCCAACCACTTTAGATATACCATAATGTATATGAATACCCTAATTGCAGTGCCTGGAACATAGCTGATTCTCTAAACATTTGCTGAATGATTCAATCTCGATGTTAGGCAAACCTTAAGAAGCAGGCATGTGGAAGTGTTTAAGAAACCAGTTTCCTCAGAATTCCCATTTGAGCCTACACAGTTCTTTAAAAGTTTAGTTAGTATCTTCACCATGGAGTCTAATCTGTAAAGAGAATGAAGTTGATCTGTACCTACTGGCATGGATGGAAATCCAAGACATGTTCAATGAAGAACGCAGGGTGCAGAACAGTGTGTGTAGCGTTTTCCTTTTAAGAAAAAATGGTGAGTATACTTAGGCACGTATCAATGCTTCTGTGTGCATAGTTATCTCTAGAAGTATCACACACGGTGGTTACCTCAGGGGAGGGGACTCGAAGTTAGGGTGGAAAGGAGACCTGCTGTTCTCTGTATATATTTTCCTATTTGTTTACCATAAGTATTACTTTTTCAAATATAATAAAAACCTATAAAAGTAATGTTACTAAGCCTAAATTACTACTACTAAGTATATTCCTTAAAAATTGTCATTGTTTTTAAGAGCCTAATTCTATGTAAGTGTTAGTTACCTGAGTTCCAGATTATATCAAGCTGATTTTAAAGGAGGTGCTGTAAGTACAGAATATGCATCTCAAACTTTGCAACCACCTGTTAATTTGATGACTTCTAATACCCCTTTTCTTCCTTTTTTAAAAATGTGCAGCATAATAAGAGCGCCACATATTCTGTGGGAATGCAGAAAACCTACTCCATGATCTGTTTGGCCATAGATGATGATGATAAAACTGATAAAACCAAGAAAATCTCGAAAAAGCTCTCCTTCTTGAGTTGGGGCACCAACAAGAACAGGCAGAAGTCCGCCAGCACCCTGTGCCTTCCATCCGTTGGGGTTGCGAGGCCCAGTGTCAAGAAGAAGCTCCCCTCTCCTTTCAGCCTTCTCAGCAATGACAGTTCTCTGTACTAATATGAGGAAACAAAAACGTTTAGGCCCAAAACATTTCTGAGTGCTGACATGGCCTTAATACTTGTGCCATAATGGAAAATTTTCTATCTCATATCTGGTTTTCTTAGTCTAAACTTGCTGTTGGTATTTTTTTCTGAAGGAAAGTAACCAGAAACCTCTAGAAATGTGAGGATAACAAACTGATTCGAGTTTCACTATATTGCTGCAAAAGGAGCCCTGGTGGTGCAGCGGTTAAGCTCTCAGCTGCTAACCGAAAGGTTGGCGGTTTGAACCCACCAGCCGTTCCATGGGAGAAAGATGTGGCAGTCTGCTTCCATAAAGATTACAGCCTTGGAAACCCTA